GGTCGTGGGTTGCTTGCCATGTACTCAAGGGGGTCGTGGGTTGCTTGCCATGTACCCAAGGGGGTCGGTGGTTGCTTGCCATGTACTCAAGGGGGTCGTGGGGTTCTTGCCATGTACTCAAGGGGGTCGTGGGATTCTTGCCATTTACTCAAGGAAGTCGTGGGATTTTTGCTAAGTACTCAAGGGGTCCTGGTATTCTCGCCATATGCTCAAGGGGGTCGTGGGGTTCTCGTCATATACTCAAGGGGGTCGTGGGATTCTTGCCATACGAGAGGCAAGAAATAGTTAGTTCCTCTGTGTGTAGTAAGCCGGCTAGACCTTCTGGTTACACCCAGGTGCCTCATTCTCTCCAGGCCATACTAATCGTGTTTTTCTATTGATTCCGTTGCTTGTCCTTAAAGAGCCTTGACAACATCTGCCCTGTCACGTATCAGTTCACCACCCAGTGGTGCAGATCCAGCCAATCTGTCTGCCGGTTCATTACCCACTACGCCGGCATAGCCTGGAGAAAAGATCCAACGTATACTCACTACCAGTGACTTTCCCAGTTAAGCTTGCCACTCTGCTAAAAGCATCCCTGTCTTCACCTTTCTCAGCATGCTTTCAGAGTCTGTTACTATTACGACATGTCTGTGCATCTTGTTCTCTAGCCACCGGAGAGCTACAGTTACCGCCTCCACCTCCATTCCATGCTAGATGTTGCGATGTCGTATGCTAGGCTGTATTGCAATAAAGATTTTTCATTGGCAGGATGATGATTATGAATAATAAGTTTAGTGACAATTACAGTCGTTACATACACTCCTGGTCACAATTTTCACTATCTGATATTGTTTACCAAGATTGTGTATGAAGAGCAAACCAAAACGAGATGTAGAACTTTGCTTCACATTATCAAAGTCGTGAACGTTCTGGCTAGAAACTCTTCATCAGCACATGACATGAATAGACAATGCTACTGTTACTAACAAGAATGCACAAAAACCACTCAGCTGAAGGCTTTCCAAGAAGTTTTCATTGTCTGGCCAGTTGAGGCTTTGAGACTCGTGTGTACCTTACAAGGAGAGCTAATTACCTCGTCTCCCCCTCCCCCTGACACTGCTAGCTGCAGTACCAAACGTGACCATATCTTACATACCATGTTTATTCAACAACAAACCATGATTACTAGCTACCACTGCTATCTGACAAGACCTGCCTTCGTAATTATAAGTACCTGGTTAGATTCTAGCTGCAAGTAATTTGACAGTGAACCGCCTTGTGTTGATTTCTATAGGGGTTCATTGGCAATGGCAAACTATTGAACGTAAAGTTATCTAGTAAATCCACTCCAGCTTACAAATGCTGGGGTTCATTCTGCAACGTTGTATAAACGAAATTTCACTGAAACGTACCCTCTTCATAAATGTCCCATCCTCCGCTAGCACAACGGTACTTTAGACAATGAGAGAGGCCGGGAATGGTAAAGATTTGTCCGTGTCGATAGACATTTCCGTTGACGTTGCATTGACCTGTTGGATACGGAGACGTAATTATAGTTTTAGTTTGAAAATAAAGAGATATAAATAAATACATTTTTCAAAACAATGTTTTCCCGTAATGAATTTAAAGAGACAATGTTTCGAAGAAACGATTCGCATTTCAGTTGAATTTATTCAGTTTCGTGCTTTATTTTATGTTGATGTAACTCTGTAGTAACGCACCCGATGAGATACAGAGAAAAATGTCTGGCAATAAATTGTGCAATGTATTGTTTGTATCCGCATTATTTAAATACATTTTTATTTAAGTATCCACCAACCATGAGTTAGTTGTTAACCCTTTTGCTCGGTACTATGGATATCGCAACCCTTCGGTTTTGATTCCATGATAAATACCGTAATTCTAGGAGAAATGTGGCTTTTCTGCCTACCCCCTGGGCGTGAACCCGGACCACAAGGAGTTCGTCAACCAGTCGCAGCGAAGTCAGGTTCAACCAACTACGCTAGCGAACTGGGCTAAATAAATACATAATGTGCTGTGCTGTTACGCTTACGATGACATGTTTCGGTATCTCACACGATCCCCTGAATCACGGATCCGATCAATGTTCCTGCGTCGTTTAATTCACAGGTCTAAGCCATGTTGGTATTTATCGCTCCACCTTCTTCGTGCTCCTTTTTATGAATTGTGCCAGATGATACCAAGATATCGAGTCATTCTTATAAGATGTCCGGGGGGAAACGCTGAAAGCAATTTTTGTTGAGCCACTTAGAAGACTGCAGTATGTCCATCACTGTCCCTTGTGAAAAAACAATTGACACACTGCAGTCTTAAAAAATGCAACAACAAACAGGTGCATAAGACTGCAGTCAGAAGTGCCAACACCAACATTCCGACACTAGAAATTCAGTTCATCGTCGACGAAAGCAGCAGATCAGTGTTGACGAGATTATAAAGATAAGGAGGTTGCAATTTCCTCAAATCGTTGCTAGCGACTCACTTACCCCTGGTGTCGATATATCTGTTGTCCAACTGGGCATTGGACGACACAAACGTGAGCGTCAGGATCACCAACGACAGACTCACCCACAGATACCGACCTCGCTCACTGTTTGGCTGCGGAAAATAAAGAGAACGTGTGTGCGCGAATGTATAATCACATACATACACACACACACATATATACACACAGACACACACACACGCACCCACACACACACACACATATATATACATACATATATACATACATGTATAGTAGTAAAACATTGACTGAATACTATTATTAGCTGTAATAGCAGCAGCAGTAGCAGTTGCATAAACAGTAAAGTTGTTTTGTTGTTGTAATGGTTGTCATAGTTGCACTGGCAGTAGTAGTAGTTACTGTTGGAGCAGTAGTAGTTACTGTTGGAGCATGTCACATATCACTCCTGTCACGTGCCTGATATAAGGATTTCTCCTTCAGAACCAACAGCACTCAGAAATAATTATGTTGAGTCGTTTGGCTCGTATTGGTCTAAGGGATTCCCCGTGGCCAATATACGCTCAACTTTTTTCTGGAGTAGGGCAAGTCAAGTATTGGCACTACAAAATATATCTGTATATGAATACAATATTTCTAGGCACACTTGGCTGGACACCCCCACTACTTACTAAAGAAAGCCCGTAGGTTATGATAGTTCATTATCATAACCATGTTAACACAGATATTTAAGATTCATACACACACAAATGCTAAACACTTAAAAAGGTGAAATAGAGACACCTAAGTCAGCCATGAAAATGAATGCATGTAATCAATACAACATATACATATATATAATAGTGAAGTAGATGCCAGATCTCAATAGCTGGATTACAGAATACAATGTCCAGATTGCAAAGACAACTAAACAGCCAGAATGATCTGGAGATGACACAAATTCATTCTCGGGAAACATGGGAACTGTGAGGAATATAGCAAAACAGGGCATTAAACTGGCACTTATCCTCTTTCTATCGTTGATGCTTCCCTCAGCTCCTGATGATTCGACTGTCTGTGGTAATTCTGCCTCAACTGGATCAGATGGCGAAGGAGTACCTCACCATAAAGGACACAGCAACTGGATAGGCACACAGCAAATGTCTCCCACTAGTCATTAGCAGCACTGTCCCTGAGCTACACACATGTTCTGGCACTGTAGGAAGTTTGGGGTATATGGCACCCCAAACTAACGTCAATCTCGACACCTGGTAGTTGGGTGATAATTGGTAGGTAATAGGTTGATGGTTGGTTGGGTGGACTGTGATTCTTCTGCCCGCTCTTCACAAAGGTTTCATCCCAAGCATAGGAAAAGTCCTAGGCGCCACAGACCGCCTTTTTAAAATGAAATGTACTGGCGTCGATGGACACGTCTGAGTCCCAGGAAAGCCGGCAGAATAATACCGCTAATTTTCAGTTAGGCGTTGGTAAGAAGTAGTTCCTTGTATACAGGAGCAAGGAGTAAATCGGTTTCTAAGAAACTTCAAATAACTCAACTAATATTTATCCAATAGTTGCAAATTTGAAAATGACGCTAAGTCAAAGCAACTAGAAGATGTAGATATTCTAATTATGTCCGATAAAGGCATATATCGATATAAGGGACTATATACCTTCCCGGACGAGTCCAATTTTGAATGTTCTGTCGACCCCAGGTAAGACAGGTCTCGACATTTTTAGGGGTGATGCGTAATGGCTTATCATTCATTCCACGACAGAGCAGTAGTACAAGGTCCGACAATTAAGTAATGAGACTAATTCCATAAAAAGTTAAATAAGAAGATATAACCTGTGTGTGTGTGTTTTTTTTTTTTTTTTTTTTTTTTAAAGTAAGTCCCTTTTGCATTGATACAGCACATAGCAAGATCTAACAAACACTGGAACGACCTCTGTAGTTCTTCTGTTGTTATGACCCTTAAAGTTGATGTTAAGGCCCTTTGGATGTCATCAATATCGTCGAAGAATGGTCCTTTCAATGGCAACTTTATTTTTGGGAATAGAAAATAATCACAGGGAGACAAATCTGGGGAATAGTGTGGATGGTTGAGAATACACACTTGTTTTAGGGCCACAAATTCCAGTACAACTACGCCCGGTAAACTGGTGCATTGTCAACAAGAAGGAAACACACTTCCAGACGGTGAATACTCGGGTCAGACTCAGAGAATCCGGCTCTCCTCCGAACTTCTACCCCTGCAGTATGGCGGCCTGAAATATCCTTACGGGGCTCAGGCATATGTAAAATGCGGACTTTCTGCCAAGGAACAGATCGCGGCAAAACTATGATTACTTGACAATTTCAAGAGACGCAACATTGCAGACGATAGTAGCAGACGATAAAAGCGACCGGTGACAATGTCGAGCGTTTCTGCAGACGATACTAGCAGAATATAAAAACTACCGTTCACAATTTCGAGACATTACAGACGATGAAAGCGATATGGCGGGTAGACCACGCGCTCCCAAGCAGATTAGCAATACTGTTCTTCCGATTGGGAATTTAGCAGCGGTAGATGTCAGACTTGTCGGCATGCGCAAAACGCGATTAAACTCACCGCTGAGAGTATCCCCCGCGCGGCGCGGATGGTGGGCTAAACTAGGTGCCTGGGACTCACGAGCAAAGTAGTTTCAAGAAGTTGCAGGAGATGCGGTAGCTGGTGCTCGTGAGTCCTAGCCATCTAGTTTAGCCCCTATCCGGGGATACTGTCAGCGGTGAGGCATAGTCACAGAAACAGGTCCGCAAGTAACATATCGCTGAGACCCTGTTAGAGCATTTGTTTCGTTATACGGAGCCGGCATACTTTTAATAGAACTGAGCCCCGTAAGGATATTTTATGGCCGCCATACTGCCGGGGTAGACATTCGGAGTAGAGCCGAGAATTCTTTTCAATAAATGTTTCAAAATATTTAAAAATGTATGGGTGAGATAGTCTGTCCCCTCTGGAATAAGTTCTTCGTGAATAATTTCTTTGCTGCCGTCGATGCACACCAACATTTTGTTCACTTTTTACTTTTAAGACGGATTTTGTTTGTTTGTTTTTCGCGGATGATGATGACTTCCACTGAGAACTTTGGCGTTTAGTTGTGGGATTATAGCGGAAAATACTTCTTTCATCCTCTGCAACAATCAAATTAAGGAAATGTTAATTTCTGAGACACGTTTGGATGATCTTTTTTTTTTTTTTTTTTTTTTTTGTACTCAAAACGCTTTTTTTATTTTTTTTTTTATTTTCTGTCGTTAGACAACGAATGTGGCACAAACCGGCAAACAGCTTTTTTCTTGCTCAAATCGTCTGCTAAAATGTTATAAATGGCCTCTATATTAACACCAAATTCATCTGCTGTCATCCTCACAGGCAAACAACGATCTTCTTGTATCTCTTCTCTGACTTTTGCAATGAGTTTCTCATTACGAACATAAATTTGGCGTCTTGGTATAGTTGCACTAATAATAAGTTTCGCACCATTTTTTGCTACCACTGAAAATGTATGCAGGTTATAAACAATTATCGCATCAATTCAGCCGTCTAAATGGAGCTTTTTCTGACTTTTAAACAGAATTTAATGTTAGCTTTTTTGTTCCATGCTGATTACGTAACAATGCACCTCTGACTATGTGAACAAAATGGCAGCTTGTTTGTTGTCCGCTTATCGATGAAAAGTTGCCAGATAATAGATGAAGGTTGCTTCTTTGGATTCCATGCTTTGCTTTACAGATGGCATTTTTGTCTTGGCTAAATAAAATCAGTCTCACTCTACCTTATTGTCGGCACTCGTAGTTATTGTTGTAGTAGCAGTAATTATCGTGCGACAGTAGTGGTATTGTTGTTGCAATAGCAGTTATTGTTATAGCAGTAGTAGTAATTGTTGTTCTAGTAATAGTAGTGGTAGCAGTAGTAGTTGTAGGTGTTGCAGAAGTAGTTGTTGTTGTAGCAATAGTAGTAGTTAATGTTGTTGCATCAGTCGTAGTTGTTGTTGTTGTTGTTGATGATTGTATGTCTGTAATACTGTTAGCCAATATTACTATAGAGCAGTATCTCTCACGACTTGGTGCAAATTGAATAATAGTTACAGTGACACATTTTACACCAAACGACATTCGCATGGTAAATTAGTGGCCTTTACTTTCAGTATAATCTGGTAATGCACTGCCGACTCTCACAACGCACTTCTGCCATACGGCCTGCAGCTGATTCCGACACGGAATGTTGTAATTATGATCTGCGTTAATAACTCCAAAACTGCTGCACAACTGTAAGTGGATTGTAAAGAGAAGAAACTTTTTTTTAGTTTACCAGACAGTATATCTCTATAAAGAAAAGTTTACCAGACAGTATATCTCTATAAATAAAAGTTTACCAGACAGTATATCTCTATAAAGAAAAGTTTACCAGACAGTATATCTCTATAAATAAAAGTTTACCAGACAGTATATCTCTATAAAGAAAAGTTTACCAGACAGTATATCTCTATAAAGAAAAGTTTACCAGACAGTATATCTCTATAAAGAAAAGTTTACCAGACAGTATATCTCTATAAATAAAAGTTTACCAGACAGTATATCTCTATAAAGAAAAGTTTACCAGACAGTAAATCTCTATAAATAAAAGTTTACCAGACAGTATATCTCTATAAATAAAAGTTTACCAGACAGTATATCTCTTTAAAGAAAAGTTAATCAAACTGTTTATCTTTCTAAAGTACAGTTTATTGAACAGTATATCTCTATAAATAAAAGTTTACCAAACAGCACATCTTTGTAAAGAAAACTACCAAACAGTGTATCTTTTCAAAGAAAAATGTCCCAGATTATCTCTAACAAGTAACAATTTACTAAACAGTATATTTATGCAAAGAAAAGTTTAACAAGCAGTTTTTCTGAGTAAAATGTAGTTTACCAAACAGTGCATCTCTCTTAATAACAGTTTTGAAACATTATATCTCTGGAAAAAAAATTTTTACCAAACATAATATCGTTGTAAATAAAATGTTACCATGTTTGAACGTTGATTTTATTAAATTTCTGGACAAATGAAAGCAGACGTGATTTCCGAGCGGGTCCGAAAATAAATACATTTGGTTTTGCAAACGTGGCCAGTACAATAACTACACAATTGTTCTAATTATGCAGTTTTACGTTCGTGTGGCGATAATTTCATAATTTGCAACTAATTCCTTTTGTTTTCTGATGAGACACGAGGTTGTTAAGGGTAACTGTTGGCAAGGCTGTTGCCACGAAAGTCCTCTATCAATAACAGATTGTGTCAATTTTATGATTGTAGAGAGCTTTCTCTTTTTTGTTTATTTTCAACGAATACTCAGAGAATGTAGGGAAACGCTTCTAACAAAGCTGAGGGGTTATTTGACAGTTTTGAGCCGCGTCGAGTTGTAGAAAAATTCATTACTATGACTTAGATATCTAGATGATATCACTTTATTTCTGTTTCCGCTGCCCCAGCCTTTTCTTCTTCTTCTTCTTCTTCTTCTTAATATTATTATTATTATTATTATTATTATTATTATTATTATTATTATTATTATTATTATTATTATTATTATTATTATTATTATTATTATTATTATTATTATTACTATTAATATTATTCTTTCTCTCGCTCTTCTTTTTTATTCTTTTTTTAGAAAAATGTGGACGGATCAACATCATAGCACAGGGGTAGTAACTAAAAAGTGCTCCGTTCTACTTCTGACTCAACCCTGAGTCTCAGCGCAGTGCACGAACACCCGCGAGCTTCCTGAAATATAGATTTTTAACTCCAGATCTTGCCTGGGCAGCACCGTTAGGCTACTTTTTTCGATTTCCAACTGCCAAGGGATTTTGTTCACGTGCTCAGAAAATACATACTGGCGTCCGATTACTACCCAGAGACCAGGGAAAATTACTAGAAGTCCACGTGAAAAAAAATCATAGCCTTTATCGAGGCTTGAATTCAGGACCTCCAGCACTCAAGGCGGACGCCATGCCTCGAGACCACGCAGCCCCCAGTTAATTACATTCGGCAATGTTATGAGAAGAGGAAAAATAGAACATGTTGTGACCACTGGAAAGATCTGTGGAAAGAGGGATAGAGGAAGACAACGAGAGAAGATTCTTGACAGTCTTGTTGCATGGCATGGCGGTGTGTCGGCAAACGAACTGATACATGCTACAGGAGATCGCAGATTATGAAGAGGCATGATCGCCCACGCCAGTCGGCAAGGCACCTGATGATGATGTTTGTGGTGCTGATGATTATGTTGGTTGGTACGATGACTAAGAGTAATAATATTCAGGTCATGGTTGTAAATCTGGCAACAACAGATCCCCTGAGCCGACAGTAATAAGAATAATTACATCGTTGACATTTGATGGTGTTTGTTCCTAAGCTAGTTGTTTTCGCCAGCTGTTTCCTGTGTAGCAGTTTTTAACTCACCATCAGGAAAAGTCATGCTAGAGTGTGCGTCTGTGCGTGTGTGAGTGTGTGTGTGTGTGTAAGTGTGAGTTTGAGTGAGTCGATGCGTGTTTCATAACTTGACTTCTGCGTGCAGATTTGATTTTTATTTTCGATACAACCTACATGTATGTCTGGTAGTCTTAATTTCAGCTTCATAGCAAACGGGTCACCCCATCTTTGCTCCGCTCCTGTTTTTCCCCCCTCACTCATACCCTGTATTTTATACACACACAAACACGCTCACACAACTGCTTTTATTTTAAATAAGGTTATTTATACGATAGTCTCCCCATTTACACACCACCGGTTGTAGGTCAACTCCATTGATAAGTTTGTTGGACTAGTCTACCGTGGTCGAGGTTATGGGTGTCGCAATCTGTTGTTGTCTGGCATTTACGTTTTTATTTCCGAGAAAGAGACGGCCTGTGACATAGGTTTTATCACTCTCTGCGGGGAGGGTGGGTTGTGGGTTAGACCCGGTATCTAAATGATTAAAAATTGTTAAAAGCTCTAGCATGGTGAAATATACAAAATGCGTGACCTTGTGTGAAAGTCGGATCGCTCTAGGTCGACCTATCAGAAGTGTGACGGTGTGTAGATGGGGAGACCAGCATAAAATGTTCCTTAAATAACAAATTTTTCCCGCCCGCCCCTCCACTCCAGTGATGCCACCCTGAGTGCGACCCGCGGAGCTCTTTTCTCCTTTTCCCGCACTCCGACTTCAAAAAACACAACTCTAATTAGTCGCTTTTTTACCACATTTTTAGGGGACAGTAGAAATATTATGTTCCCAGTCCCACCCGACCCCATCTCCCCCCCCCCCAACCCCCACCTCCCCTCCCCCTATATGAAGCCGAGGAAACCGCACATCAAAAGATGTTTTTTTATTTATCTAGCTTGTTGATATTTCTACTTTTTTTTTCAAACACCATCTTTTGTATTTATTTTTATAATATAGCGCCTTCATATCCATATTTTGCACTTATTACATATTTCTTGGTTTCAGGACCATATTTTGCCTTAATTACCTTTTTCTTCGTTTCATGTCCATATTAGGCCCTCATTACCTATTTCTTAGTTGCTTTTCCCTCATTACCTATTTCTTAGTTTCATGTCCATATTTTGCCCTCGTTACATATTTCTTGGTTTTATGTTCACATGTTGCCCTTATCACCTATTTATTGGTTTCATGTCTAAATTTTGCCCTTATTACCTATTTCTTAGTTTCATGTCTAAATTGTGCCCTCATTACCTATTTCTTGGTTTCATGTTCACATTTTGCCATCATTGCCTATTTCTTGGTTTCATGTCTAAATTTTGCCATCATTACCTATTTCTTGGTTTCATGTTTCTAAATTTTGCCCTCCTTGTGTATTTCTTGGTTACATGTTGACTTTGGTTTGTTTCTTATCCGTTGAGTTTTCCAGTCACTGTTTGGGCTGTACTTTGTACTCCGCTGATAAAGACTTTGGTCGAAATGTTCAGCTGTGTTTGTGCGCGTCTGTCTCATCCTCTCCGTTGAACTCTCTTGTCCTATTTTATGTTGTGTTTGGCACTGTTTGAAATAGCGTGTGTTATAGTGGCAGCCTAGCTGTTAACCACAACACAGTGAGGTCAACCGTCGTTTTAGTGTCGAACGCAGAAGACAAAAAAAAAATGGTTGCATAATAAAACAACGCTGAAACTGTACAATAGATTTACAAAGTTTATTATTTTTACAATAGCATTTCAGCTTCAAAGCTGTTAAGAAAAAATGGACTTTCGAGCTGAAATGCTACAGAATAATTTTCAGAATACCATGTAGAGGGAAGAGGCTGACTGACTGACTTTCTACCCCACCAGGACATCACACAAGTGATACATCTGATGACACAAAGTGCCACCATGTGGGTGAGAATCACCGTGGAGGTGTCCCAGAAACCGCGTTCAGCCATTAGACCATATTTATGGCCAGGCTGTATTGCGGCCCCTGGCAAGAGCCAGAGAAGGGCTTCAAATAACGAAAAATGTCGTCCTAAAAAGTACGGGAAGTACGAATGTACAATGCACAATAAGGGAAGAGGAGAAATGCTGTCATTTCAACAGATGTCATCATTAAAGAAGATCAGATGCTGAAATACTTTGGTCATTTGTTCTTCTTCTTCTTCTTCTTCTTCTTCTTCTTCTTCTTCTTCTTCTCTTCCACCTTGTACCTCATCGAAGTGTCGGGGGGAGATGTAATGTTCATTAATGAGCTCTGTCGAGAGCACTATTAAGACTGATGTTCATTTCTGTAAGGCTGTTCTTAATGCCATCACTCCATTTGTCCGAGGTCTTCCACTCGCTCTATACCCGTTGTAACGTTTTTGTGTGGCTCGCTGTGGCGGATTGTACCAGGGCATTCTTGTTAGGTGTCCAAACCACTTCATTTGTTGTTCTTTGATAACCTGAAGGTCATTTCAAGCGCCATAATTATGTCTACAGTGTTACACTGGTTTGCTCCCTTTGTAAAACGGGATAGGGGAAGAGGGGGTGGGAAAGCCCCCCCCCCCCCCCCCCTTTTTTTTTCGCCCACCCTTTTTTTAAATATATCTAAAGAACAAAAATTTAAATACTTCAGCAGTTACTCTGATAAATATTATAAGAGATTTTCACCGTTTGAATTCACTGGCCCCATTGTGGGGAAAACAAGAATAGACACACTGCCGGGAACCGCGTTAGTATAGCCGATAAGAGGCTCGCTTTCACATCGAGCTGCGACTGTTTCCAGCTCAAGGCCGGTGTTCGAAACCGGGGGGCTCCCGGGGTTCGCCCAGCCTCTAGGAAATGGGTACCAGAGCTGACACTCTGGGGTAAATGGAGGAACGTCGCCGTAGCTACAGACGTGCGAACGGCGACACAGGCAGACAGTTTCTCGTCAGCTGTCCGTACTGGTGGCAGAGCACGTATGGTTTATAACCATGTGCAATGACGCTGGTTCACATCTCCCGATTTTACCTTTACCTTTAGACACACTGCCTTCTCAACAAGCATGTTGTGTGAGTCGAGTAAATAGGAGCTTCTTCCGAATGCGAAAGGCATCTGTCCGAGAGGTATAGAACCAAACTATCTTCATGCAGATATGTCAGGTCTGTGAAAGGATGTGTATTGCATACTCCAGTTCTAGAACAAGGGTAAAGTTCAGAAGAACTAACATTTCCCGCTGGAGTTTGTAGCCGGTAAACACGAAGAAAAAGATGTTTATGTTTATTTAACTGATCATCATCTTGCCAAACGGGTGTGACCCATAAGTGCTCCGTTCTACTTCTAACTCCTGCCTGAGTCTGAAGAATCTCAGCGCAGTACACGAGCTCCGTTGCACTGCCGACAGACAGACAGACAGGCCGACAGACAGACAGACTAGATAGATAGATAGATAGATAGATAGATAGATAGATAGATAGATAGATAGATAGATAGATAGATAGATAGATAGATAGATAGATAGATAGATAGATAGATAGATAGATAGATAGATAGATAGATAGATAGATAGATAGATAGATAGATAGATAGATAGATAGATA